ATCAACCTAATATTTGACAACTATTTTATCAAATACCCCATTCAATAAATTCTTGGATTGCCAATCTTAGCATTATTTTTTATTTTTTCACAAGTAGACCGGGATCTGGATGGAGTTGTGTGTAAGATATGAGGAATGTATTCTGTACGTACTTTTGAACTCAGAATAGCTTGTAGATTATGATTTTGGATATTGCCAGGAAATTTGTTTCCATTTTTTTTATACCCTATCCCTTAGATATCAAGTAAGTAGACTAAACAAGAATGAACAAATGCTTCGGAATCATTTTAATAAATGTTTTAGTGACAATATCCAATTATTTCTTTTTTTTTATTTCAAATTTATGGCCTTGGCAATTACTTCTTATAATTAAAAATATTTATATGAGTGCAAAAAATTAGTGATACCTACCTTAATTGATTTTTTCTGCTCTTTTGGTATATTTAATCAGATATGCTGAATTTGGTTTTACAGGGTATTATTTTTGAAGCGGAAAGAAATGGTCAAATTTTGTTAAGCCGGACCTTGATTCTAATTAGTATTTTTATGGCATTATTTTACTTATATTGAGATGAGTCTATCTGACAAATTTTAGTTTTTTATACCGACTGATTGTTGAGTTTTCGACAAAAACAAATAAAGGCGAAATTCATAAAACATCCTCTATCTACAGTCAAATACCAGAATTGTAGAGAGTCACTCACATTTTTAACATAGACTTTTGCGGGCTGAGGGGAAAGGAAATCGACGAGTCATAGGCGTGCGGTTATTATTAAAAATGATCTTAAGCATTTTAGAACGAATTGGTCACAAAAATTATTTTCCTATTTTAAAGAAGCACAAGGTGAGGAAAACCGGCAATAATAATTATCGAATAAGTATAAATTAATTCAAATGTTTATACGAGCCCTGTCTCAGTGAAGTTGGCCCAACTGCCAAAACCATTTTTTTTTAAAGAAATTTGCCATATTAACGAAAAACGTATTGAAAACTATAATATTTCTGATAACATAATATGATATGTTTATTTAATTTTAGCCTAAAATACAATTATTTTGTAACAAATAAAAATCAGATAAATTCAAAAAACTGTATATAAAAATAAAATTCCGAAACCAAATAACAGCAAATTAACCACTGCATTACATCGCCTTTTCGACTGATTACTGATTCAATACATCTTGATATAGTGTCATTTAATGTTTGGCAGTCATCTGCTGTAAAACTGTTCCAATTTCTTGAAGATGGGTTCGTAATTCTCGAACTGTTCTTGCGTGATTTGATCTGAGCTACTGGACGTCCATTTTAAAAGTGGAATATTGTTTTCTAACATCCAATCTTTTACTATTTTAGCCGTGTGACTAGTGGCACCATCTTGCTGGAAGATACATTCCATATTATTTAAATACATTTTTTCAATTTTGGGTTTTAAGTTATTTTGAAGCCCATTATTAATGTATTCATAATACCTTCCACAAAGTGTAAGTTTCCCACTCCTTTAGCTGACATGGCTCCCCAAATCATAACAGAAGTCGGAAACTTAATTTTCTTTCTAAGACAGTCATTCTGAAACATTTTTTCTTTTGTTCTTATGACACGACTTCTGCAATCAACAATGCATACTTTAAATCTGGCTTCATCATTCCAAATAATGGAGTTCTATTGGTGCGGAGACCATGGTATCTATTCTTAAAATCTCAGGGAGTAGAAATTTTGAGGGAAGAATGAGAGAAAAATACAAATTTTGCGCGTTGCAGATAAAGAGGCAAAACCGGTTTTCTATTCCCTCGAATTCAAGAATAGCTACCCATAACTGATGTTCCTTTGCCCACGCTAGTCTATTTTTCTTTTGAATCTTTGTCAGTAAGGGTTTCTCTTTTGCCTATGAAATATTGAATTAGAAACAAACAAAAAGCAAAAATTATTCAAGCATAACTTGTAAGTTTTAAATTTCAGTTTTTTGGCAGCTCTGTGACAAATTGCTTGGAAAATGTTTTTCCAGTTACCTGATTTCATAATATTCTCAATTTATTATAATTAGCATGCCGATTTCGCTTGATATTCCTTTTTAAAGCTAAGTTGGCATTGGAATATTGCGGATAATTTCCAGTTCTCGGTTTTTGAGCTACATATCCAGTTGTTTTATTAACACTGTCAGTGATTTGGGAAGAATTTTGGCCCTTTAAATACAAGTGAATTATCACTTTCCTTATTTCTTCGGAAACAGCTTTACCACGACCCATTTTTAGTTGTTAACAACACCACTGTACGAAACTTAATTGAAACGTCATAATCGGCTTCTAAGCAACGTCAAATATTATTATTTTATTGAAGCCAATAAACCGACTACTCAACTTAAGTTGTCTCCATCATGTATTTTGCCAAACACAAATCATTTATAAAACAATTTCGAAATAAAAACTCTTTAAAAATAGCCACGCTGGTCTTATTACATTTCCATAAACATTTGAACAAACCAAAAATATTTTATTTTAAACAACATTTAATTTGCCCTGAGATAAATTCACAAATATCATGTTTTGTGGAGTTGGGCCAACTTCACTGAGCCAGGGCTCGTATATTTTTTATATATCCCTGTTATAAACTGTAATAGTCTTTTGAGATGATAGTAATAATAGTTTAGCATCTAATACATATTTGACATATTTATCTTTATGACACCGTGCTAAGTTTAGTAACACCATTTCTAAAATTGGTTCATTGAATTTATTATTTTTCTTAGTAAGCCAATATGCAATCTGGGCTTTTCTCCATTTGGTGGTTGGTAACTGTTCTAGACGCTGACTGTGGTATGGAGCGTTATCCATAACAATAACAGATCCTGGTTCGATTTTTAAAAGAATATCTCAAAACCATTTTTCATAATGTTCTGCATCTATTTCCTCATGATAATCTCCAGTCTTTTTAGAAACAAATGCGTTTAAACCTTCTTCAACAAATCCAGAGTCGCTACGAATATGGGTAGTAATAAGGCGTTTTCTCTTTCCAGATAGGGCTTTTAAATCTGTCGATAAACCATCTACAAAAGCTTGATGTTTGTTTTTTACATTTAAATCCTGCCAAATTTTTGTCACAGTATGTCCTTCATTTAACCAGGTTTCATCTGTATAATATTTTTGGGAGATTTTCATTTGATTGAAGAGAGGAAGCAATTTTCTTTACAGTTAGCAATTCCTTTTTAATATAAAATGCATGTATTGCACGAAGAATGACTTGTGTGGTTATATCTTCCAATTTTATTTTTTTTTCCTCTAGTCTCACCCTTCGAAGTATTAATTAATATCGTTTGTTTCATCCCTTGTTTATAAACGTAAAAGAACCTTCCACTAATACTAAAGAGATCGGGTTATACTTAACCTCTTTATTACAAACAATTCCGGTCTCTGCTTTATGAAATCCCTATCAGCGCGCCTAAGCACACTGCTTCGAGAATAACTTCCAAGAAAAATTCAAAGGCGTTGTTGCCAATAACGTCGCTTTAATCTGCGATGACAGTGTGGATCTCGGACATTATCTTCTGTTAGATAAAGATGCAAACTAATCGCTGACAACGTTCCATTATACCTTGAACTTTTAATCGCTTGGAAGACGTTTGAACAGATTAAACATAGACCAGTCATATCATTAAAATTATTTCAAACAAAATGATTTCTGTTCTGGAGGTAAATAATAAACAAATGAATTATTTATTCAAAAAATTTATAAAGATATCGATCTTCTCAATTTTTTTGAAACTATCTGTACGTATAGTCTTTGAAGAGTGAGTAGAAGAAAAAGGTTTTTGTAAATTTGTAAGTGATTAAATAAATTTTGCAATACCCCACCAATTTGTTTATTAATTAATACTGAATATTTTTCTTTTTGTCGGTATTCAAAAATCAACATCTATTAAAAATAACTTTTTTTGTACAGGGTAAACGTCTAATTTGATTGGCCTATAAAAATTCTTTACAATATGAGTCACTATCTACAATTGAGGTATTCTACTATAGGTAATGAGATGTGATAGACCCATTAATATTCTATGAATTCAAATCATTCAAGTGTCCCGCACCTACAGTTAACGTATGTACATTACATTCTGTATACGAGGGTGGGTGTTGAGATATTTATTTTTAGTTTGTTCTTATTTTGAACTCAATATATATTGTGTTACGTTATTCTGGCGAATTACTGTGGTTATTGATCTGTTACTAATTACCTTGCTTCCCCTTAATTTTCAGCCAGTAAGAAATTCCTTGTAAGCACAAGCAACGATTATAAAACCCGCTGCTTATGGTTACTTATTATATCTGTGTCTAAGTGATCTTATCTTTGAATCCTAGAATTTTTCATCTCCATCTGTAGCTACCCCAGTGCTTTCGACGCTGCTTCGAGAGTTTGTAGAGTGAATCCCATTAAATAATCTGGTGCTCGAGAGCCGTCCGTAACAAGCATCTTTCGTAAGGAACCTTTTTTTCTGTAGCTAGAAAACTCCTTACAGTATAAATATGAATAAAACAAATTTTAATCCTCTTTTATAAGAAAAAAATTATTAATTCAATGCAGCACTTAATTCTTCAACATTATACTATACATGTAATAACCAAGATATATAGAACGCATTATGCAATATTTTAATAAATTATTTAATTCTTTAGGATGTTATGTCATTGTGGTGAACTGAGTAACTAATTTTAGGCGTCATACTGTAGAATAGGTAATAATGGGTATGTAGTGTTTATATTCAGACATCAATTTCCCATAAAATTTTATTTTCAATAACGTGCCACTTATTGCATATTCATTATATAAATTTTATTATGCCAGAGAAGTAGACTGGAAGAAAATGACGCATGCCACTTGAGTACAGAATCGAAAGGTGTTACACCTTGATGTCTTTTAATATTTATTTTAACAATATTTTTCCTAGAAGTTATTCACTTTTGCTAGGACTATATGTATACAATAGAGGTTTCTAATTTGTGATAAATACGTACTATCATATCGATTTGACCATCACACTGGTCAAAAATTTCCTCAGCAGTTGTATCATAATGCATTAATGGATTAGCTGGATTTGAAAACTGAAAAATAAATTTAAATTGGTTAAAAATTAATTAAGATTCTTGTTTTTTACGACATAAATTCAATTTTAAAGATATTGATTTAACAGTGCACTATTAATTATTTGCACTATTTTATGGTTGATAATAAATAAACAAACATTTCTATTTATAGATAAGTATATTTCTTTAATACTCACACGTATGAGATGAGTTTATTTAAAGTAAAGAAAATAAAAGTTTTTTTTTTTATCTTACATTGATATGTAGGTATAATTTGACCGGTTTCGAAGTCATAATTACTTCATCTTCGTGCACGCCTAGTGCATCTTAGAGAAAGAACAAAAGATTTATTTATAAAATTTGGAAACAATTTTAAACCCGAGGTTAAATTTGAACTAACAATACTAAAACTACTAATTTTACTAGCTTTTTAAATTTATTAATGTTACGTTAGTGCAATAAAAAATTTAAAATAAGTAAAATTATTAGTATTAACAATGTAAGTTCAGAATTTACTTTTAAAATGATTTTCTTTTTTTTTTATAAATAAATCACCATTTTCTCCTATTCACTAAGTGAGCCTGAAAAAACTTGAACTTGGAAACCGGTGGCATTATTCATAACTATGTGAGCTAAACAGGATTTTCATATTCTTCACCTTAAATATTTAGTTTTTCTTCAAAAAATTTAAATCCTGAAAGTTTAAAGGTATATAACGTTGGCGTTCTATATTATACTCTTCAGAGTTTAACAGACCTCCCTTAACCCCCATTTTTATTTTTAGGTTTTTTTTTAGAATTCATGGGTTCATTCAATTGCAGTACTTGATTTTTACTAAAAATTACATGTTGATTTCGCTTTTCATTTTTGATTTGATTTCTTTTTTAATTTCAACACTCTTTAAATCCCCCATTTTTAATCAGATCTTTTTAAAATCAGGGGATTCTCCCCCTATAGAGCTTGATTTTGCAAAATATTTCAAGTTGATATCTTTATTCGTTTTTTTAATATTCAACCCTTTCTTCAACCCCCCATTTTAATTCAGATTTATTTTAGAATCAATAGGCTTCTTTTTCTTCTAGAGCATAATATATTAATTTAAGTATATTCATTTAAAAAAAGGAAAAAAATAAAGTAATAAGTGTCTTAATTGAAAAATAAATTTTTGCAATCAATTATAAGTATGTGAGAATGTAGGCTTTCACGGCAGGCGTCAATGTAATTGTTTGTTTCCGGGCTGTTATGCCGTGGTCTTTCTTGGTTATTATTATTATTACTATTACTGGTAGTAATAACCAAGAAAACCAACCGCATAACAGCCCTAAAAACAATTATAATTATGTTATTTGTACTGAAAGGAACAACGAAACGGTGTTGTTATGGAGTATCTGAAAGTACACAGTTTAAACACATACTTAAATAGGTATACGGCGTAAAACCCTCTGCGCATCTTTACTGAGTGTTTAATAAAAGAAGATAGAAATGACCGCCATTTTTATATAAACAAACTGAAACTTATGCAACCAATTTATCTTTCCATCTGTCAAAAGTGTCAAATTTTAATGTGTTTGTGAATTTGGTTAAATTTTTTTGTGTTATTTTAGAATATTTTGATTGTGGATATTATTTTCTAAGTGTATAAACGTTTTATTTATTTTAACATTTGTGAATAGACTTTAATCCCAGTATAAGTTCTCTATACTGGGCTTTATTCAAGATGTCTTGTAAGATCTTGCAAGAACATAAGAAGACTGTTGCCAATATATTCAAATGTTACATTCCACAAGTAAGTAATAAGATTTAGCAAAAATAAAGGATATGAAAGAAGTGTCTTTATATTATTTTAGGGTTCCAAAACAAGCAGATCGTTCCTTATTGTGGTTATCTGCCATATAGAGATTGGACAAAATTTATTTTAAGTTGTTAGTACAATTCACTGCAGAATCAATAAGGACGACTCGTTCACTAAAAATTTGTAGCTTTTAGAAATTATACAAGAAGAAAGTAAATTGTTTAAAATAAAACAAATATGCAACCATCAATTTAATTTTAAAGTATCCTGGAAATTTTAATATTTTTAACTTCCTCTACTGTACTTTTGTCATTTAAAATTAGTATTTAGGTATTTAATCTATTATTTGTCGGCCTATTATTTATCAGTCTACCGATTCCACCGTTGTGTTAAACGAAGTTTAAAATTACATTTTTACATTAACAATGTCATTTTAATATCCGTTTAACACAACGGTGGAATTGGTCCTAACATATATTTTTAAACATTAAAATATTTTTTTGTTGTAGAATAAAAATTTAATTCAGATATAATATTGTATTATTTCTTTTAAAAAATCTGTACAAAATGATGTATTTAAAAGTGAAAAGACCTAGACATCTGCAACCAAGTTTTCATATTGCTGTATTTCTGGTCACCTATGTACTAGTAATCTTGTATAAAAATGGCCGCCCCTATGTTAAACAGGTCGGACGTCTCTCTTGCTCCGTATACCTATTATAAGTATGTGAGTTTAAATCATTCAAAGGTAATACATAATATTTCAAAAATTTTCCAAAGCCTTGCCTGCAATATCTTAAAACAATTATCAAATAATCAGACAAAATACATATTAAAACACGTTGAAAATTTGAATTATGGGTAACAAAATGTGGTCGAAGTGACAAAGGTTTTCGATTGATGGATGATGTTACTAAAGATACTTTTTTATGAAGAAAGTGGTCCAACATTTTTTAAATATTAAATACTACTTCGGTATTACAGTAATATTATTAAAGATGTTATGTTGATCCTCAAAATATTAAATAATTTGTTTATTAATATTATACTCGTGATCAACTTTCATGTTAATTAAAGTGTTTTTGCAAGTACCTATAGTTGGTTGGCATAATTAATTAGAACAGTTATAATTATTATTTGTTTTCATTCATTTTTTACAGAATAAACAAGTATTGATACCTAACTTCTCAATCAGTACACTTTTTCCTTGTTACGAACGTCCATGACACTTTTTTAATTAATCATGACAACGTGCTTCCAGAGAGTTATAAAAAAATTAAACATCATCAACGATTTTTTCTAATGATTGATGTGTCTGTAGATATAATATTGCTTTTCCAGCCATTGTTGATCAAACCAGTACGAAACTTTTGAATTACCGTTATTTCGACATAACGGCTACGCTTGCGCTCATCACATGATGAAAAGACATACTATAAAAATATCGCTCTATCCCAGATTAGTTATATATTGCTATATCGGTTATTATAACAGCTACACAATCGGTTAAATGGGCAATGTTTCTCAAAAAATTTTTTATATAAAATTTGAAATAAATAAAAAATACCATTAACGAGATGATCACTATAACTTTATTTTTTCTTATGGACGCCATATTGGATTTGTATTGCATTGTATTGCATTGTACTGCATTTTATCACAAAATGGTATTTGCTTTTAACTGAATATAAGAAAAAATATTAGTTACCTGTAGTAACTTGCAAAAAAAATTAATTTAGTTGTTCTATGTTTTACGATAATGTCCGATTGAATCCTTTACTCGATGAAAAAACACTAGCTAGACAATTAGGAAATTATTCTTGTATTATTTGAGAATTCAGAGAATGAATGTAAAAACAGGTATTTTGCGATAATTTTGACACAATTTATAATACAGGCATATACAAATGAAGTTTAGATATCAACTGTCTAATTTAAAGAAATTGTTCTATGTGGCCACTACCTTGATTACAATACATTTGATAATAATTCTGCAAAGAGTTTATTGCCCCAATTAATGTGTTTTTAAAGGAAAAATTCCAATTTCTCAAATGTGACCAACTTAAAAATAGAAAAAAAAAATCTCAAAGACTGTGTCACAGCAAAGTTGGCTGTTAGCGACCCTTTGCCTTCTGAAAACAACTACTCCCTTGGCTAATATCGCAGCCGGTGTTTCATTATATCAGTAGGAAAAAAGAAAATAATTTTCAAAAATCTAGATGTGTTACCTTCACTCGTATGCATGATGGTTAAGAACGTACCTATTGGTAATAAACGAGTAAAAAATGGTAACGCCATCTGCACTTAGGAAGTAAAATCAAAGCTTGCTGTGTACATACCTATAGTTCTCCAGAACAAGGTGGAATAATAGCCAGTTGGGCATATATTATGTTAAAGGAAAAATTCAAATTTTTCATATGTGACCTTTTTCTTTTAATGCAACATTTTCGAAGACCTCAAATGCGTAAATTTTTCACTTCTTAATGTACCCATAAGAAAAAGTCAAGGAAATTTATGTCAGGGGATCTAGCAGGCCACACAATTTAATTATTATTCGTAATTAGTCTATTGCGGAAGTTTTCTTCTAAACATTTTTTTGCGATGGCGGCCTTATGAGCTGGACAACCATCATGCATAAACCAAGTTTGATCCAAGTTCCTCACACCTGCCCCCATTATTTACTCTTGTAAAAGCTCAAGATATCGTTCTGCATTTAAATTGAAATTGAAAATGAATTGTTCAATTAATTTATTTCCTGAACGTAATAATTTAAATAATTTCATGTTTAAATTTAAATCTCATTTTATAATTACCGAACATTAAATCCAAATTTTGTTGAGAAAGTCTTTGTGGGGTGTGCCTTGGGTTTTATGTAGCACAATGCCTTAGGCCTGTTAAAAACTTGACAATTGGTAAATCGAGTTTCGTCAGTCCACAACATTTTCATGGAAAATTGGCATTTTCTCGCATATTTTAAACACACGATTCATAAAATCTTATTTCTTGGGGAAAATAATTTGTCGATAAACCTTGTACTATCCTAGGTTTGTATGGATGGTATTAATTAATTAATTAATGACTTAGTGATATCTGTTTCATTAGCAATTTTCTAACCGATGCTGTGTGGTTATTATTAGTGAATTTTAACACACCTCAAAATGAACGAATAAAATGCAATTGAATCAAAACAGAAGAGTGTTTAAATTAAACTAACTTTAATTTGACA